TAAATTTCAGTAAGTGTGTTCAATACTTTTTCCCTGTGCCATTCCACATTATTACAAATAACTTCATTTCTGGACATTTATGGTTTAATTTCTTTTTATGTATGGATCGCTTGGGTTGTTACCAACATCTGGTGAAAATTTCATGTCAGTAGCACCTCTACTAATATATTTACTGAGAAAAATGGTGACGTGTTCAATACTTATTTTACCCGCTGTAAACTAAACTGCTAATTTGAAAAGCCTATTATTACCACCAATTTTTATTGGGTGGGTAGTTGAATTTTAACATAATACTTGACTTTTGTGATGCAATTAAAGGCAGTGAGCAATTACGCTTCTTGTCTTCTGGAAACCTGCATTCCTCATTTCACTGTGAGATGCTTTGGTAAAAAGTGAATGTTTTGTTTTGTAGCAAATTTTTACATTACTCTTGAATTTTTTTTCTGTCCTTCAGATCAACTTCCTTTCAATAACAGCATCTTTTTCTTTTCCCTCTTCAGGTGCGGTGGACAAAGACAGCGGGCAGTGCTTCAGACAAGTTCCAGGAAACATCCATCTACAATGAGACATTGCGCATCGAGGGCATCCAGAGAGTGCAGGGGGGCCGCTACTACTGCAAGGCTGACAACGGGGTGGGGGTGGCTGCCATCAAGTCCATCCGCGTAGATGTGCAGTGTAAGTAAGGAGGGAGAAACTAGGAAAAAAAATAAAAGCTCCTTCCACTTTTAGACCACAGCGGACTTTCACTACAGCCATTCCCACTGTCAGAGAAGACCAAGATGGGGGGAGAGATAGAATGATTGCCAGAGGAAAGATGAAAGACTGATTGGACAGATGATGCGATTTCAGGTGGGAATGGTTTCCAAGAGTATCTGATGAATTATGGTGGAGAGGATGAAAAACATGCTGGAAGGCTTAGGAGGAGGGAAGGTGGATCATATCGAGCTATAATGTGGAAAGTGCACCAATTTTTTTCCCCAAAAAAACTTTAAGGTTGATAGAAACAAATGCTATCCTGCACCAATGAGGTTACATAAAAGCAGGACGGTCTTTGTCAGATACTCCTGGAAAAAGAAAAAGTGAAGCCTGTGGATTTGTTTGAGTTTGTTAACAGTTAGTCCAGGCAGCACGGGCTCCCTAACTCAATGTTTCTTAAGCAATCCATGTCATAATTTACCTGGGTGATATCTGCAAAAACCATATTTTTGTTTGTCAAACATCACTAAAGAGTTTTCCGACCAAGTCACAGTGACACAGTCAGCCACGCTTCATTTGTAAAGCATCAATTGGTTGATAATTACCAGATTAATTTGCCTTTTCAGACCTTTTTTGAGCTGCCTCTCTGGTCTGGGGCGCTACAGCGGCCCTGTTGTTCGTAAAACAAAAGGCTACCAGATTATATTAAAAGGCCCTTTCATCTTGGACAGGCACCAGTGGTTTTTTTTCCTAGAGAGGCACCTCTACCTCAAGAGTTTAAGCCTGCAACAATGTCAGCAGGCAAAGCTTTAGGGTTACTGAGATGCTTTCAGAATCACTTACAATCAAATTAGGAGCAACATTCAGATACCAAGAAGAGGAAAACATGATGTTCAAGGCTAGTTCAGAATCAGAACATTATCAAACGTTCTGTTCTCAAACAGAAAGGTGTTTTTTGTTTCTGACAAAAGTGTAAAGACTAACGGCATGCTACCGCTTAATACAACCAATAGTAGACATTTAGGCTCAGACCCTAAAAGAACTTCTTCTGCTTTGGTATCTGTTCAGTAAGCCAAACCACTCAACATGTGGCGGATGAGAGGGAGCATTGTGTTGTAGGGGTCCCGTGCTGCTGCTTGTTTCACTGCCCCACTGTCCCTGTGAGTCAGGGGCCAGGTCATGGTCAAATGTCAATACACATATAAACGACAGCTCATCAATACATCAGCATGCCTGCATTCAGAACTGTCAAACACATTTCCCCATCTGCTTTAAGAGTAAACAGTCCTCTACTGATTTAATCATGCTAATGGTGTATTTATAGACTAATAGGAGAAAATCTGATTGATCGAGGAGCCCAGTAACGTTTAACATCAGTTACTCCATTTGTACTATTAAACTCATTTTGTTGGCTTCGTTTACGATGCAACCAAATGCCCTGCTGCCTTTAGGATCAAGCTATTTCACCTGTGCGTTACAAGAATAGACGCACACACACACCTTCACACAGAATCACACTCATCCCTTTGAGATTCATCACTTAGCCTCTGTCCTGCCTCAGCCTCTTAATAAGGCTCTCCCTCTTTTCTTCATCCTCCTCCCTTTCTGCTGATAGTGTCACTTTTCTCCAGGCATTAGTTTGGCCCCTGCTGGGGAGCTGGTAATTGCAGGGGGCCAGGATAGTAAACAGGTTGAATAGTGAGTGTAGTTGTGACAGGAGCTCTGTGAAGTTAACCAGCTCTGATGGCCAGTGCTTGTTCAATTCCCTTTGCCCCCATGCTGTGTTGGACCCACTGGCGATCAACCAGGCTTGCTGCACGGAGCGTCTTTCAGCACTGAAACAGTGTAACAATTAGCTCAGGCTACCACAAACACATATGAGGAAGTGGGGTATGAAGGCGGAGAAAAAGATGGATTTAGATGTTAGGACAGAAAATTTTGTAACAATTTTGTTATTGATTATTTAAAACAAAATATGTGTTCAAAGTTTTAATTACAGCTGAGGGTAATCACTTATAAGTTCTTGACTTTTTTTTCAGTTGCCCTTTTTACTGAAAATATTTTGTTAATCATTTGTTTAGATTTATCTGCAGGACATGTCTGAGGTTTGTTATCCTTAAATTTGACTACAGCAGTACTTTGTGACAGTTTACCTGATCTTTAGTTGTTTTCGGCCTTCAGATCCAGCTGTATCAGGCTAAGATAAAGTGCATGACTCTTCCAGTTCATGACCATTATTCTCGTTACATTTGATATTGTTTTATGCATTTACCCATTTATTTAGTTATTTTCCCCATAAAATAAACATCTTAGCTTGATTCACACAAAGAACTTTTTTTAAAGAAAAAAGTATATTCTGGCTTTTTTCTTTGTAATCTTGAAGTTCAAGAATGCAAATCTTGCGGTGTAAAAACATGCATTTTTTTGTGACACTTTCTCCTATAATGGACTCACTTACCTGGATGTTGTTTTTACCATGAAAAAAAGCAAGGTTTCACAAATTGCTCTGCCTGTATTTCATGAAAGTCCAAGTCCTTTTAAGTTGTCAGTCTCACAAATGCTGTTATGTTTTTATTCCCTAGAATCTGTCAACCTGTCCACAAAACAGTTTTTCACTCAGCTTTCCAACTGCATTAGCACCCTTAAAAGAAGGCTCATATAATGGACCTTGATTCTCAATCTTCAGTCAATTAAAAAAAAAACAATACCCTTAGATTTAAATAAGACATACACTTTTCTATTTAGTCAGTATTTCTATATGATCTATCTTGCTTTTAGTAGAATCCAACCCAAGAATAAGTGCTTTTTTGTGGATATATTTTTTAGAGATTTTAGAGTTAGTCATCTCCCATTGAGCAATTAATAAATGCTGATTCCTAATTTTGCACAAATTCATGTTTTTCATTCAGTTAATCACTAACCTTTTAAAAAATATGTAATCAGCACAAATAGACAATGAGATGGACAATGCCTCTGCAGGCTGCTGTAGATGACCAAACAGAGGCATAAGCTTTCCAAGATGGGAAAACATTTTGTACACATTTTTTTGTTTCTTTTTTTTAAGTCACCATTAAAAACACTTAACCTTTTCAAAATCTCTAAAACGTGTTTTTCATGGACAACTGAAACAAAAAAGTTGGTGTTAAAATCAAAATCCAGGCTCTGAAGGCCCCTGTGGAAAAAAAAAACAATGGGAGATTTCACAGATGAATTGTCTGTGATTGTTTTGAGAAAAATCACACACAAGCAGAGATGAATATGCTCAGAAGTTTAGTGTGTAAAACGAGGGCAGAAAAACACCTGTCAGTGACTGCTGATATGGATTCTCATTTGTAGGTAGAACTAAAGTAACTAGGGAGAATTTGACCTGTTTTTGTCAGAAAAATAAATAATTAAACACAATTTATATTTTTATAGCATCATCCTTTGAAAGGTGAGAGAACTGACCATAGCACTGTCTGTTGTTTATTTTTATCTGTTTGTATTATCATTTTAATCTTAGCCACTATTAGTTACTCTCCAGTAATTGTGAATAAAGTGTTTCTAGTTAATAAACCAAATTAACATTTCATAATGTCCAAAAAAACAAGTTTTATTGAAAGGAGCCATTCTTTATTTTAGCTGCTAACATTAACAAATCTAAATGATCCACATACATGGACAGCACACTAATGCATACTGTAACTTGGACATCCTTCCAAGAATATTAAAATAAGCCCAAAAGCACATATATTCACACTTCAAAGTGTGAGCATGAGATGAACTATAGAGTAGAAAGGGTAGGCGAGGGAGTGATTGATAGATGGAAACTGAACATACAGCTGGGAAATTGAGTGGAGACTTTCAGGACCGAAGAAAAGGCATATATTCGATCTTCTACTTTGAATAGAAGACACATACAGCAAAAGGCCCTGCTTTCCTTTAGTGGACACCTTGTCATCCTCTGTTATTCATTCTTGCTTTATGTCCTTCAAACCTGTGATGTTCCTACCTTTTTCTTTTTTTATTTATAGAAAACAAACTCTGAAACTCCTCATGCCTCCCTCTCCACGCATTATTTATTTTCCTTTATCCCCTTTTTTTCTGTTGATTTAGAAGACATTTACTATTTGACCTTATGTGCTGTTTAAAAATAGGTTGTTACAGTAGCCTGCTAACCTATTTTTCATTAGAATACACTTTTTTAAGTTGCCATCTTTTTTTCCTGTTTGTGAGGAAGCATATGCACCACTATGCCCATTAAAATACCAACACTTAGACTGGCTTCCCTAATGCATTTTTCTCAACACTCCATTCACCCACCAGCCATTACCACAAAGACCCTCTGTATCACAGAGCTGAGCTGACCAATGGCCTGGCACTCTAACCACTGAGATAGTGGGACAGTGAGCAAGCGGGGTTTAACTTTATGTAGCCTCTACTGATGGGATGGACTTGGTTCAGAAACCCAACTAATGATCCACGATCTAGATTTGCAAAAAATAAAAAAATAATTATAAAAAAACTGCTCATAAAGGATTTGATCACAGCAAATTCTTACTGGATTTTACTCTCTTCAGCATCAGCACAAGGTAAGTGAAGTGGGGGTGTGAAGTGATTGTGATAATGACAATATTGTTGCTGCTTACGTTGTTGATGCTAATGTTTCTGGCAGTACTGTGGCAGTGGAGGTAAAAAAAGGGACATTGGTGGAGTTGTCGGATGTGATTGTGATTCATCCAAAACCTCATTTCATACAGGTTGGCTTAGGTTTTCAGTCATCCACTTTATCATCATGCTGGCTTAAGCAAATGGAAACTAGACCTCTGTTTTGTTAAAGATTTTTCACCTTTTAGTCAAGAAACCCTCTCCAATTCTGTATGCAGCCAAATGGTAAGAAAGCTCTAAAAACCATTGGGTTGGACTTCAGACACAGTTTGTGAAGCAAGAACTGATTTGTTTTAAAGATAATGTTCTTAAACAAAAATACTGCTGAGTGT